GTTATAGCATGAAAATTATAACAAGCACAAAATGGTTACGAGGTTGATCCCACGGACTGAGCCCGTGCTGAAAGAGTTAAATAAAACTATCAGCTAACATGCTGAAATAACATAAACATACCAAACAAAACAACAGGATATAAATAAAAACTATCAGATAATATGCTGAAATAACATAAATATACCAAACAAAACAACAACAAGATATAAATAAAAACTATCAGGTAATATGTTGAAATAACATAAACATACCAAACAAAACAACAACAAGATATAAATAAAAACTATCGTTTGACATGCTGAAATAATATAAACATACCAAACAAAACAACAACAAGATATAAATAAAAACTATCAGATAATATGCTGAAATAACATAAATATACCAAACAAAACAACAACAAGATATAAATAAAAACTATCGTGTGACATGCTGAAATAATATAAACATACCAAACAAAACATCAACAGCATATAAATAAAAACTATCAGATAATATGCTGAAATAACATAAATATACCAAACAAAACAACAACAAGATATAAATAAAAACTATCGTGTGACATGCTGAAATAATATAAACATACCAAACAAAACAACAACAGCATATAAATAAAAACTATCATGTGACATGCTGAAATAATATAAACATACCAAACAAAATGACAACAGGATATAAATAAAAACTATCGTGTGACATGCTGAAATAATATAAACATACCAAACAAAACATCAACAGGCATATAAATAAAAACTATCAGATAATATGCTGAAATAACATAAATATACCAAACAAAACAACAACAGCATATAAATAAAAACTATCAGGTAACATGCTGAAATAATATAAATATACCAAACAAAACAACAACAGCATATAAATAAAAACTATCAGATAATATGCTGAAATAACATAAATATACCAAACAAAACAACAACAGCATATAAATAAAAACTATCAGGTAACATGCTGAAATAATATAAACATACCAAACAAAACAACAACAGGATATAAATAAAAACTATCAGGTAACATGCTGAAATAATATAAACATACCAAACAAAACAACAACAGGATATAAATAAAAACTATCGTGTGACATGCTGAAATAATATAAACATACCAAACAAAACAACAACAGGATATAAATAAAAACTATCAGATAATATGCTGAAATAACATAAATATACCAAACTGCTCATTTCTGAAAACATATTTCAATATTTCAAGCAATTTATTTACATTTTACTTGCAAATCTAGAAAACAAAAAATTATGTTTTTGTTTTCTTTGATAGGTTGTATGGGGGCAGAGTATTCGTAAGTATACTGGAATGGACGGCAACTGCCTGTTGTAAAAAACACAAATGTAGAGGATGACTTTTCAAAAGTATTCCATCGTCAAGTTTTTTTGTTAATTTTTAAGGTCAACTTATAACAAATTTTGGAAAAGATTCGGTGACACGAGTTTGACAGTGTCTCTTGAAGCATACACACAAACTAACTCTCCTCTGTGACATGAGTTTGACAGCATCTCTTGAAGCATACACACAAACTAACTTACCACAGTGGCATGAGTTTAACAGCATCTCTTGAAGCATACACACAAACTAACTCACCTCAGTGGCGTGAGTTTGAAAGCATCTCTTGAAGCATACACACAAACTAACTTACCACAGTGGTGTAAGTTTGACAGCATCTCTTGAAGCATACACACAAACTAACTTACCACAGTGGCATGAGTTTGACAGCATCTCTTGAAGCATACACACAAACTAACTCACCTCGGTGACATGAGTTTGACAGCATACACACAAACTAACTTACCTCAGTGGCGTGAGTTTGACAGCATCTCTTGAAGCATACACACAAACTAACTCTCCTCTGTGACATGAGTTTGACAGCATCTCTTGAAGCATACACACAAACTAACTCACCTCGGTGACACGAGTTTGACAGCATCTTATGAGCATACACACAAACTAACTCATCTAGGAGACATGAGTTTGACAGCATCTCTTGAAGCATACACACAAACTAACTCACCTCAAAGCAAGGGCATTGGGTTCAGAAAACTGGTTTGTTTCCTCTTGTTTCTCATCTTCTTCATCTCCATAATCAAAATCCAGCAGTTTCTATTGAACAAAAGTTTTTTCAATATCATTAAAAATAATTTCTTAAATTGGATGAACATTAAAATAAATTTTAAAAATCAGCATAAGTCCAGGTTATAGAAGAGAAATACAAAATGAAATATTACACCATGTGATAAAAAGTGATCAAACTAACCTTATTAAACTTAACAGTGGTTACTTCTGGCCTCACAGCAGGTATTGTGGTATTCAGCTGATGCAGGCGAGAAAGAAGATCTAAGTTAGGTGCATGCTGGTTATCACTGTTTTCTGTAGCCGTATCCATCATTATCGAAGATGTAATCTGCTTTTCATCCTACCCAATGTCATGCATTATGGGAAAAATGGCCAAGAATGTTTATATATATAAAAACCGAATAAAAATAAACTGAGTGTTCTCAAGACAAAAGTATTAGAAATTTAATAAAATACATTTATTTTATTTCCTTATAATAAACACAAAAATTTAAACATCTGTTCCAATCTACGTGCTAAATTATTATTGGTTAATTCATTTATCCTTTAACAGTGGTTTTAGAACATTATAAGAAACTTCTGGTTTACATTTTCTCATTGTATAGATGCTTTTTAAAAATATCAAAATACTTTAATAATTTTACAAATTAAACCTCTCTACCAGTTTTACTGTTATTCATTTACACAGATGGGAAGTATTATGTGCTTTTCAGTTAATACATCTTAATTTATGTTTGAGCACAGTGTGGTAGTTTATACTTGGACATTGGCCTAAACAAGACAAACGTTTATCATAGTGTGGGTTAGGATATTTTATATACCTACTATATTTTATTATTATTTATAATTTAATTTTACGTTTGTTATCTTATTATAATGATTAATCTGCATAATTAGCTTAGTATATGGATTTAGGACTAACCTAAGCCTCCTGGGCTGGCCAAACCTTGTGAGATATTATTGGGTTTACGGCCGAAAATATTGTTAACAGCGAGGGAACCTAACTGATGAAACAATGCATCCTAATCATTACAAGTAATATAGTTTGAACATTATATTTAATTAGACATATTTTTAGTTATGCTCTTTATGGGTAGCTTGCTTCGATCAGTAGTTAATATCAATTTCATTTGAATGGTTAAAATAGATTAAAAATGTTAGTTTTTTCTCAAACTTGTTAAAACTTCCTCTTTGTCATTTGATAGATAAGAACACAAAACATATAGACTAAAAAAGATATTTTATTTTTTACTGATTCATAGCAAGGTTTTATTTCAAAGTTCTTATAAAATAAAATAAATAAAAAAGTGTATTGATGACAATGAACTAGTAATAGTTAAAATGTGAATCTGTTCGGTTTTATTCAATAACATTCTTCAAACCTTCAACCAGTACAGGTAAATTAGTTAAATAACCAAGTACATTTGGATATTTTAAGGTTTAAATTTTTTTACAATAAATATATTTATGCAAAAAATTGTTACACCTAACTTGATATCAATCATTATATTAAGTTATACTTCTTGTTAGGCCTCAATTTTCCATCCAAATATTAATATTGACTGTGCCCAAAAAAGAATATCAAAGTAAAGTGTAAGATAAAAAATACAACAATTCCTTTAACTCAAAGTGAACTTTCAAGAGCTATCACAAATCATACACCAATAATGTTTTCTTACAATTACACACCAAACCTTGTTCTTAAATAATTGAGAATCTGCTAAACTACCTTACAAAATATCAAATTTCATGTTTCTTAAGCAGACTATTGGTTAAAACGTTTTTTTTGTGTTTCTTAAGGAAGAAATTATTTCTCGAAAGCACATTATACTGAAGTAGGAATTACAGCTAATAGAAATATATTACACAAACCTCTGAATTTATAAAAATCCCAGATTCCAAAAAGCTTTCATTTCCTTGTCTAGATTGTTTCCAGCCCTTCCAGACTGGGATTTCTGTGGAACTTCTAGGTTTTGCTGAATTTCTTTCATAGGATTCAGTTTCACCTGGAGACTGGTTGATATCTGTGGGTTCCACAGGACACAAAATTTACTTCCTTCTTAAAAAAAGGTTTTTGAATGTGAATGACATTGTGATATTGTTTTGCTAGTTCGTTCAATGCAAAAACATATAAGAACCTTATGATTAACAGCAACTCAAACTGATGCAACATCTGTAAGCTCTCCATGGCAAGTAATCAAGAAATCAGAAAAAAAAAACACAGTTTAAGCCTGACTTAATTATGTTATCTTAGAATTAGGTCTTTGTCAATAGTAAATTCATTATGTGTTTAAAACTAGAAAAAATGTTTTGTAAAGTTATTTTACTGACTTCAATCTTATTCAAGAAATTACTAATTCACATCAACATCATAAAGTTATATAGTCTAATAGAATGGTAACATATGAAACAAATATAAGTTCTGTGTATTGTATGATTTAATAATTGATAAGTTTTCAATTCATTCTTAGTAGCAATGAAACTCACTGACTGGAAGATAAAACAATGAGCTAAGTGAAAACATAAAGAGAATTGAACACAGTAGATAACTAATGGTACAAGACTTGTTTGGTCTTAACAAATCTACATAAAGTACAATAAGAAAATGTTGGCTAATGTCACTAATGTGTTTGGATTTATTTATCTAATAGTGACTGGGAACAATGAATCAAAATGTTGGCTAATGACACTAATGTGTTTGGATTTATTTATCTAATAGTGACTGGGAACAATCAAGCAAAATGTTGGCTAATGATTTTAGTGTTGTTTGGATTAATTAATCAACATAGACTGGGTAAAATTAAACACAATGTTGGCTAATGTGTTTGGATTTATTAATTACAGAGACTGGGTACAGTGAAACAAAATATTGGCTAATGGCACTAATATGTTTGGATAAATTAATCTACAGAGAATGGGTACAATGAAACAAAATGTTGGTTAATGTCACTAATGTGTTTGGATTTATTAATTACAGAGACTGGGTACAATGAAACAAAATGTTGGCTAATGACACTAACATGTTTGGATTAATTAATCTACAGAGACTGGATACAACGAAACACAATGTTGGATAATGACACTAATGTGTTTGGATTTATAAATCTAAAAGAGACTAGGTACGATAAAACAAAATGATAATTAAGGACACTAGTGTTCTTTGAATTTACAAATTGAAAAATTAAAAAAAAAATTGGGTACAATGAAACAAAATTACAGCTAATGGTACTTACTCATGTTTGGATTTGCTAAGTCTAAAAGAGGCTGAATAATTTCACTTGGGAATACACTGTTCTTCTGCCACAAATTCAAAACTCTTACAATCCTTGGCTGGAATTAAACAACATTTTTTTAAATTTAATTAAATCACAATATCTCATATGCATATAAGCAGAAAAAATTAATATATCAACATGTATAATAATAATATACCCTATACTGTTACTTTCACAAATTTGTATTCTATAGGTTTAAAGATTAAATATCCTAAGCATACACCTCAGTGATTTGATCTGTACTTCTTCTTATGGTAATATCTCTATTAAATTTTTACAAATAACTTGTTAATATCTCTTTTGAAATTGTTGTTACATACTTTTACAAAATATTTGTATTATAATTTCTAAATGCACAAAAACATCTAACACTTATACAAACTGTAACATCAAGACACAAATATAATACACAAATACAACAGTAAATGGAAAGCTTTAACTCTTTTACTGCCATGAGCACTAAAATTTCCCTCTCTAGAGCACTGGCATGTGAGTTTAAAATCTTGTACAACCACAAAGACAAGGTGTTCCCAAATTTTCCCAGTTTCAACATTCAGATAAGTAATGAAATATTAAAATGTGTCATTTTCCTTTTTTATAATTGTACCAGTGAAAGAGTTAAAGCTCCTTTAAGCATACATCTTTAAAGTAGTAAAGGGCATTTATTAAAGTTATATTATGAAACAGCACATCTTAATGGTAATGTTGAAAACAACTTATGAAATTGTAACTTCATAAAATAAATCATGAAAAAACTATTAATAAATAAATAGCTCATCATTCTGTTTTTAATTACTACTTTAATTTAGAAAATGTTTCTCTAAATAAAATTAAAAATAAATTTTCCATTGCCAGGAGATAAATTTAATACAATAATTTAAGAACCAAGTCACATTAATTACAATGAAGATACTAACCCTGTCTTCATCAGGACATTTAAAAAGATTCTGAAAAGTTGTAGTTATATTCTTCGAAAAACGTGGGGCAAAGACATCTTTATCAGAAAACTGGTGCTTTGACTGTCGTACAATAGAGTCAATAACATAAAGTCCAGGAATCTTGTATTCTGGTCGACACTGGAAGAAAATTACTATTATTCATATCCAAGCCACACAATGTAATAATAATAATAAAGAACTTTTTCATATCTTTTTTAAATCATCTTAAAATGTACAAACATGTGGATAAACAATATTCATGGAAAACCAACAAAACATTGTAAATATTATTTGTTGCAAAGCATTTGAAGAATTAGACATAATTGTTTAAAAGTAACTTTTTATAAAATTGCTACATTTGCAATTTGAATTTCTTTAATTATTTTGGCTCTATACAAAGACCCACACCTATACATAATTTTAAAAAATTAATAAAACTGTGCTATAAAGTTTGTAAAATGCATATTAATTTTATTACACTTTAGTATTAAAACACAATTAAATGTACTATTGGACATATTTTCAATGTATAACTGGGAAACTTGCATCATGAAAAATCTTATGTAATCTTTATCATAAGTTCTGGTAAATCATTAGCAATGTTTTCATCTTACAACAACAATATTTGATTACAGATAGTTTGTACATTTCATAATTAATTTTTTGAAAACTTCACAATTAATATTTTTATCAACACTACTAAATTTTAACACATTTTTATTTTATTTACAATTTATGACTAAGTATTTGCACAACTTTTGGTATAAATCTGAATATATCTGAAAACCATGCACATTAAATTATACTATGTTGCACACTAGGGAGAGTATTTCATACTTTTATTTAGTATTAATAAGTTACACTGTAGCAATGTAGGGTTTGTCTTATGAATTCTGCAGCCAAAACAAATATATATATATATTTAAACATAACTGAAAATATATTAACATGATTGTGAATCATTATGCAAGTATTACTCTACTTTAACAGAAGAAAATCAAAATATTTTCTAACCTTCTGAATAAACTTCTCAACACTTTGAACTATGTGTTTATAAAACTTAATTCCTTTGATGGCAGCCTTTGTGACCTGTGTCATTCTTGCTTTTGAAACAGGTGGTTTGCCCTCATACAGTGATGACAACTGAAAAACAACAATTTAAGACAATAAAGTCTGAAAAGACTTTGTCATGAATTTTTTACTTGAATTCATAAGATATATAGCACAAGTTTTGACACTGATTTGACACACAAACTAATTAATTACAAAACTTGATATATTTGTCTTAACTGACATGTTTTACAAAATGCCTCATACAAAATCTTCCAAATTATTATTTAATTTGAATCAGTAGATCATTCTAGATGGAGACTTCTTCAATTCAATAGAATCATTTCATCTTTCATTAAAAGTATTTTAAATTTAACATACAATGATTATTAGTTTAACCAACCAATAATGCTAGCAGTTTTACAATTTTCATAACTTGAGTTTCTGAATTCAGAAATGCAACTCTTTTAATCTTCAGCTTGTAAAAAGTTAGGATTCATTTTAACTTGCTAGTGTTCCTAATAATTATTCTCCTGAACTTAAGAAGAATAGTCACTATTCGAAAGCGCTCGAGTTTTGGATCTCGTTTTGAAAATAAAATACTAATAATATTAGTAATAATAGCATTAAATAATTGATTATGTATTAATGTACTATGTAGTATCGGGCAAAATAACATATTTTGATTCCGTATTTTTTTCCTCCTGTAAAACTAAAAGTGTAACGACAAGTATTAGCAGAAAATTTCATATAATTTTGCTGTTTACAATATCTGTTTCGTTCTAATTTAGTCTTGTCGCGCACACAGAAAGAACTCGGCCTCACATCTATAAATTGTAAAAACTGGTAATAATATATATATATATATATATATATAGTTAGGCTTAATAAGTAAACATGTAAATAATGCAACTCAACATAGCGCACAGCAACCAGCTCATTCAGTAAACAAGATGAAACACAAATATACACATACCTCATTGTTAAATGCCCTCACTACGTCCATCTTTAAATAAATTTTTATATTTGTCTATTATAATGTATTAAAACTTGTGTTTCTTGTTTTGTGTCTTGTTAAAATAAACTATATACATTCCTCAAAAGATCCAATATGGCGTCATATATACATTTATTACTGATGCTACTGCGCGATTAGCGTTAAGTGTGATTGGTTGAATGATTTGTTTTGTTTTTTATTACCTGTTACAAGTTTCTTCCAACAGTTATTACTTGAAAATGTACATTTATTATAATACCTGTCATATCAATAATTTGAGTGATTCACATTTATAACCTATCTCGCATTTATAATAAAAATGCACAGTGAAAAGGTATCTACTATGTCGTAGTTTCAGCGTAAAGCTACACAATGAGCTATATGCGCTCTGTCCACTGCTGTGAATCGAGCCCAGGAATCTAGCATTGCAAGACCGTCAACTTACTGCTAACCCACAGTGGGACAATATGTCTAACCAAAATGCGCGATACTTAGTTTATCTGTGCTCTTGTGAACACGGTCAGCTCCTTCGGGTAAGAGGTTCATGTCAATGAATTAACATGTTCTATCGTTGGCCAGGTTTTTTGAGTCATTTGGTGAAAATAATGCAAAGTCTAGTCCACGTAACAGTAACGAATTTATTTTTTCTATATTGTTTGATACAGACTACATTCACTTTGACAAGTTGTAGGCGTAAGTTCACATGTGATGTTTGAACAGAAATTCGGGACTGGTAGGTCTGACTTCCAGTTAAAAAATATACTTACTTACATAATTTATTTGCTAATTAATCGATTAACTTAATAGGCATGATAATTCTCTATACAAACACTGAAATTGCATTGAATCTTCACGCACTACATGATTTCTATTTTTATAATATTCTCTGATTTCTCCAAATTACACGAAATTTCTAGATTATTATATGATCATAACTTTCTATGTATTATAGTATTACTTTTATAAATTTCTAAATCTATTGTCACACTCATGATTAACAGATTCCTCTCGCAAACAACTCAATTATAATATTGAAAATATAGCTTACAACAATATCTATATATATATATAAAGACGAAATGTTTGTTTGTTTGAACCCTAATTCCTCCGAGCCTATTGGGCCAATCTCAACCAAAAGTTGTATGTAAACACTATGAATTATGAGGAATGTCCTAAAGGGGTCAAAATTGAACATAACCATATATATTGTTGCGTCAGCGAGGTCACGTGATTAGTGTCATGCCACCTGCTTTCTAGAACTATCCCGTTTCTTCGGGAGTGCTCTAGTATTTACTAGATTGGGGTGGACTGGTATATATAAGAAGGTCACGGCGTGACGTGACAATATGTTTGTAGGCAGTGAGTAATTGAACTGCAGTCAGAAGTATTGTTGGAGTTAACGTTCGTTGTTAAAACGTTTGTTATAGAGCGACTGTTGAAAATAAGTGTATTGGTAAAGTTATATTCAGAAAGAATAAACCAGTTTTATTAAGTAAGGACTTGTGTCGCTAAAGTTTCGTCGGAACGAATTTACGGAAAATCAATTAACAAACGGAGACGTAACGTTTCTGTTCGTTTGTGTAAAACCTGTTGGGTAAATAACTCCCAGCTTATTGAGTCAATATCAAACAATCTTGGCAGATTGACGCTTTAGACAATGTTGAATATTTTAAATGGATTCAAAATCAAAGTCGTTAGTTAATTACTCGTAAAAATTCTTTCCGAAGAACTTCAGCGATACAAGTCCTTTCTCAAATAAAACTAGTTTATTCTTTCTCAATTCAACTTTGCAATACACTTAATTTCCACAGTCACCTTAACTTATACACACGCTATAATTTACAACGAACGATTCACTTACTACCGCGCTGGACTCAATTTTCCGTCTATATCTTCAATCTCTCTGTCTGCTATACAGTTGTTGCCGTCACTTTATTTGCTGGCTTATATACTATAAGAGCTCCATTATAGCAACCGCCAGGAAGTTCGACAAGTTTCTCGATCTTTCTAGATACTCATTACATGCTACAAGTGTCACGTGACCTCCGCTATCGTTACAGTATGAAAGTTGCTGGACTGTTTCTCAACAACCATGTTTTCTATGGTCAATGAGATGTAGGGTGTTCAAGGGTGGGATCATCTCAAAATGATTATTTGTTGGTAGATGGAAAGCAAATTGCAAATGTTGTTTATGAAGAAGCTTTCTTAGAATTTTAAAATTTTGAGATAAAGTTTATGTAAAAGTTATTACTTTGAAATATATGATTGCTGTTAAAATTACATTGTTTTAATTAGTTAAAACATTTCCCGTCGGGAATTTCAGCTTGTCATAAACAATCGGCAATCAAACCATGATTAATAGAACCTAACCTTGCGTCAGAACGACATTTGTAGTATTATTGAGTTTAAATCCAAAACGGTTGTAAGACTCATAGTTCACAACTAATATTCCCCTACCAACATTTCTTTGCTGCTCAGAATCTGTGGTCCCTCAGTGGGTGAGCACTAAGATTACGGACTTACAACATTTAAATCCAGGATTCGAGTTCCCGCGGAGGACAGAGCACAGATAGCCCATTGTATAGCTTTGCACTAAAACAACAACACACTCAAACATACTCAGAATTGGATTCTTTTTTTTACTGCTGCCCTCCACACTTTTCTCAAAATTATAATTTTTAGCTAAAATTGTACAAGATTATAGTTTGTTTGTTATTAAACACAAAGTACACAATAAATTATTTGTGCTGTACCCACTGTAGGTATCAAAACTCAGTTTCTAGTGTTATAAACCTTCAGGCATACCGCTGAGCCACTGGGAGGGAGGCATATAAGAATATAAATTGATCAATCATAAATGTTTTCAACATTTTAACTGTACACAGCATGGTCACAAGTAAATAGACACCACCTTTTCAGAAAAAAATGAAATGTTTCAGTCATATTCACATGAATTGATATATTCATAACTTATTAATATCTAGTAGATCTTCCTTTCGCTTCGTGGAGTTCGTTGATCCTTTGAGACATCATGAGAATCATCTCGTCAATTTTAGATTGTGGGATTTTCGCCCATTCTTGCTTCAAAACCTTGGAGTAGATAGCTCTTCGAAGTTGGTTTTTTTTTAGTTGTTTCTTGACTTGCCAGTCGAGTATGGCCCAAAGGTTTTCGGTGGGGTTCATGTCAGGAGATTGGCTCGGCCAGGGCAACTTCTGGATACCATTTTCTTCCTGCCACTTTTGGGTGTTTCTAGCAGTGTGACACGGTGCTCCATCTTTTTGGAACAACGTTGTGTTCTTGTCCACG